CAGCCTGTTACAGCGGTCCCCGCACAGCTTCGTCAATTTGTATCTTGATCGGCCGCCATCGCGATATTTCTTCCCCGAGGATCTTGGAAGTATCTTCGATTCGAGGAAAGGGATGGATAAATTTTTCTTTTTTTTAAACGCTTGGGTCGAAAAGTTTCGAACAAAGTTTAAGTTACTTCCCACTTCGAGCGAATTGAAATGCTCGAATAATCAACGAGGTAACGTTGTTTCTATTAGATTTTTTAATATGATTTTTGATATTGTCGAATGCATCCTAACGTTACGGAAAATCTTCCATATCGCCTCCGTATCATCCCTTAACAAGGATCCCAATTAATGTTCGAAGCCAAAAAAATCCTGGCCAAATATCGCCAGGTCTTAACACCAGGAATGCCAGATCGCGGCGCGATAGTGGCGCTTTTAATCAGCTTGCCGCGAAGATTTCCCTGCCCTCCCCTCCCCAGGTGCAAAAATTTGGGGATCGGGGACATACCAGCGGAAGGATCCCACGGGAGCCGAAAGGGAGAGGAGACGGCCACTAAATATTGTGTTCGCGCAGAGAATACAGCTCTCGGGACACGTGTAAGCGGGATTCCGTATGAGCAGATCGGCCCGCCGATTATACGCTAATTCAACGCAAATTCCTTCCACGAGATATCTGTATCGCTCGCATACATCAGAGGCCGCGGTAGCTGGCTGCCGTTGTTGCTGGCGAGAGGACCTTCTCCTCCTTCTCCTCCTACTCCGCCGAGTCTCCACCCGGCTGGCTTAATCAGTACCCACAGAGAAGGAAGAGACAACTATATATACACACACCACGGTTTGTACGTAGTTTCGCGCGTACAAGGTGACCTTGGGTGCGGGAGCAAGAGGAGGTTGTGTACGTTCAGTCTTTTTTCCCATTTTTATTGGCATTTTTTTCATAGTGTTTTGTTCTCGCCGGTAAGAAAGAAGAAAGGACACGTTTGTTTTCGCACGGATCTGAAAAAACGACGATCTGTATTTAAACCTCGATTAGGCATGGAATCCATTTCTCGTAATATTAATTTAATAAACGAGTAGTTAAGATGATAGTTAAGTAAGTTGGATATCGAAATAATTCCAGTCTTGAATGAAATTTCAACATTCAAATTATAAAATATAAAAGCGTCTGAAGTGGAGATCTTTTTTTCTCGATAGTTTGAATAATCTCTCGAAAGAAAGAAGAAAAAAGAGACGAAAAATTAGGCAGATATCGAGACATTTCTCACGCATGACGAACACGGATGGACGGTAAAGAAGACGACGGGGCTACCGTGAGAGGAGGCGAAGATATATCGCGGTTGTTTCGGCGACGCACGGTGTGTGTATGCGCGCGCACCGTTCACAAATTAAGGAGCGCCAAAGTCGACGGGATGGCGTAGCTATCGCGCTTCATAAAACTTCGTTAGCAGGCCGTGCAAGTAGACAGGTCGCTGCAGCGTTATAACGTTATAGCGTAGAGGAGACACCGCGCTGATGGCCCCTCTCTCAGAGGGTAGTCGGCTGGCTACCGTAAAAATTCATTTTCTCCTCCCTTCCCCGTGTAATTTCACCACCGGATTCTTGCTTCCTCCTCCTCCTCGCCTCCACGAACACGAGAGTGATCAAGCGCGGCCGCTGCGTCCGATCCTAATCTTGATTAGCAGCATTCGCCACGTTCCTTTGTGCCGCGCGTAAACGAGATTCATCGCGCCTTCTTCCTCGAATCTCGCATCCCGTTGTCACCGTGTTGTTTGTCCGGCCGGGTCTTGTATCCTCCGCTATCGCGTAATAATCCACGATAGATCATAATCTCGACCATGCTCCCTCTCGAAATGACTCATCGCCCGTGTAATTTTATTACATTGAACCGCATCGGTTACTCGAGTAGTATCAATATAAAAAAAAAAAAAAAAAAACAAAGATTCCAAATACTTTTACAAGAAAACTCGCCACGGATCCTCGAATCCTCCTTTAATAATAAAAACGAGGATCCGTCCACGTAATCCTCGTTTATCGAGCGGTTTAACGATCTCGAATTTCGATGAACGCAGGTTGAGCAACGGTATTGGCGCCACGTGCCTCTAATATCAAGCAGGAGGTCGTATATCGTCCACGGTGCGTCCGCTCGTTAATTTGCTCGCTGTGGAGCGAGCGCGTACAGGGCCAGTGGGCGCACAAGGTGCACCCCACACGTGGCCACACACACGCACGCACACACGCACAGCACACGGAGGAGGGGTGGGGGAGGAGCGCGCACACGGCCAAGGGGTAAATAGGCATACACGAAAGAGATGGCGCGCGCGTCATTAGGTAACGTGGCCTCGTTAGGATGAGTTTTTCCACCGCTAATGAGGTGGCCTGCAAGTAGTTGTCTCTCTACCGGCGCAGACGAGGTCCGAGGTAGAGGGCGCTCTCTGTCTCTCTCTCTCTCTCTCTCTTCGCTCCGCGTGGATCAGGTGGACGCGGAGTCCGGCCTTCCGTGACGCTCGGCCCAGCGCGAATCTCGAGACCTGGACACTATTTTTAATCCACCCTCGGGACGCGGACTTTATGGAATTAAAATACATGCCGGCTGCTTATATCCCCCCCGACGCGGATACTATATTTCTCTCTTAGCGGACAACCCTACAACCAGGAATAATCCTGCTTCTTCCTGGATGTTATGCCAACGGACATCTCGTTTTTCCTTCTTCTTTTTTTTTTTTTTTTTTCCTTTTCTTTTTGACTCGTCGTCTCCGTTTTTTCCCCCGAAGCTTCGTGGATCCGCTTTCTTGCGGTTGGCTTTTCTTTTGGGAACGAAGGTAAAACGTAGGGGACTGTTGGATGGGGGAAATTATGAGCGAGTGATTCAAAAATCGTGGGTGGGGAATAAATGTGTGTAGTAGATTTTTATAAATCGAGGGAAATTATGTTTAGCGAAGTTTGTGAGACGAAGGAATGAAATAATGGAAACAAAAATATGTGAGTGCTCGTCCTAGGGTACCATTCCCATCAATTTTCCTCGTTTTCCTCAAAAAAATCTTTTAAAATTTCTAAACATCTCCAATCAAATAAATTATGCACAAACATTTGCGCGCATGCAAATCGTGTTATCGTCTATTTTCCAAAACCCAAAACCAACCAAAGCCCATCCTCGTTTTCCAAATTTTCCAAAACACCTGATGCTCCTCCCGCACCGTTACCGAGAAACACGTATGTAACACGTGTGTTTATACACGAAAAATCAGCCTGTGGCTCGATTATCCAGGAAATAATCCATTTTCGCGTACACGTTTAACGAAACGTGGGCGGGGAGGGGGGAGTAGAGGGGCGCGTGTTAGCCGGGCATCGACAACGCCGCTCTCTGTCGTCGTGATACGACGCGGTTCCACGCGACACCGACATTTAAGCGCGGACGGACGAATGGCGCGCGCGTGTCCGCGCGTTTTTGCGAGACCTGCCCGCGGCCATTAAATTTACGAGCCGTCACGGCTAACTTGCAAAGAATAATAACGTATATGCTCGAAATAATCCAGCCGGGTCGGGGATAACCCGGTATATGGAAATAGCCGGGGCTATTTGAACGAACTCTCGATGTCAAAGCAAGCCAGACCGGATATAACTCAACGTTTAAACGGAGGATCGGGCGCACGCGCCCGCTGCTGTTGTTTTAAAAAAACGCGGCTATTTAACATTTTTTTTTTTTTACCCCCGCCGGTTATTTCCATCCCTCGTGCTAGATTTTAAATTAAAATGTTGTGGAAGGAAATTGTTTCCTTCCAATTCGTTGATTAATCGTCGCCGGGTTTTCATACCGAGCGAAATATGCATACCGAGCTTTTTAGGTTTTTGCGAAAATATGGTGAAGTATGGTTTTTCTGGTGCTCGAGAATTTAAGGACAATTGCCGAGTCTTGGTTCGGTTGAAATCTTTCTTCTCCTCTTTTTTTTTGGGGGGGGGGGAGGTTTGGAGAAAAATACGAATGAATGTCTTCCTTCTATTTCAGAGTTAATCAGGATAATTGGTAATTGGATAATGAGACACTCCAATAGGATATCCGCAATTGAATATAAAAGTGAAAATTAGAGATACTCCCGAAATCCAGAGTGCTTTTTTTCCTCCGACGAGAACAAATTTTGATTTTTGTAATTCTTCAAACTTGACGAGCGACATCGTTCGTCTGAATCAGAGCCAAGAATCCACCCGTTCCTTCCCTGAGAGAAAGATATTTCAGAATCAATTCGTAATAATTTCTAAAATTCCTTCGTTGAATCGGCGTGAATTACGTAACAATACAAAAAAGTAGCATCGTCGATAAATACTTTGAAAAATGCACATATATAATAAATAAACGAACAATAATACGTAATAACACACGTATTAAGTACCAACTAGTTAATGGCCACGTGGCGCTAGTGTCGCCTCACCGATCGTCTTACCTTACAATGCACAGCACGCTTTTCTCTTGTGCAAAATCCTCACTCGAAAAAGTAATTTATCACACTTTTCTTAATTCTTACCCAAAATTTCTCCACCAAAATTATTGATTCTCTGCACCATTGGCCGCCCTGATAATCGTGAAAGTAACTCTCGGAAACGATTCCCCTTTGGTTTCGCGGATCCGATGATCGACTGCCCTCAAAGCGTGCCCCCCATCTCGAGTGGTGTCCGACGTCGCCATTCATCCGCCATTCGTTCCCGTGGCCGTCGCTTAATTCGCGAATATTTCACCGCCGGCTGAAAATACGTTACAGCTGCTCGCGTCGTGTCTACAACCGGGCCGCCGCGCGCCATTTTTCCCAAATATTCGAGTCGCCCGTAAATTTCCGTCGTTCGCTTATTTTTTTTTTTACCTTCTCCAAACGCTTTAAACTCCCCCTCTCTGTTAATCAGCTTTTATTTTGGGGGCGGGAGGGATGATATAATTCCTCGGTCGAAAGTTTGAGGAGCACGATTCATCGTTCTCGTCTTGTCTTGTTGTTGTTTGTTGTTTGTTGATGTTGTTGGCGGTGTTACAGACGGCGTTGCACTGGGCGGCCAAGCACGGGGACGAGAATATCGTCAAGTTGATCGCTGGCACCTACAAGGATTACATCAAGAGTGTCAATGAAACTTCGGTAAGCGAATGAAAATATATATTTTCTTCTATTTCGATAAACTCACTCTTTTTACAATTAATATTTAAAATTTCGATTCTAATCTTGTCCTCTGTTTCCCTGGTGACCGCGCCCTGCCAATCTGCCGTTCAGAACGGGGTAAGTTTTCATAAATCAAAATTGTCGAAAACGCGTAAACAAGGATCGGCCAGTTTGTTTATATTATTGCCACGATTCAAGCAAACTTTATATACATTTTTCATCTCGAACAATCCCTTCTCAATCGAGCAACTTTTCGATTAACTCTCCATAATTCCAACTTCCATTAGCTTACTCTAAATAAATAAAAGCGCATGAAAGACAGACAGAGAGAGAGAGAGAGAAAGGGGAGGTATCGATAAAAAGGGGGAGAGGTGAATAAATCGCGAACCACGCGATATCTATCTACCGTGATCTCTGAAAGTGGTCGGCGTGCGAAGAGAGAGAGAGAGGAGGAGAGAGAGATTCGTGCGGGTTGCATCTCTCGGGCTGCAAAGGGAGGGAATGGCGCAACGCAGCGAGAGGAGGCTCGCGAGATAGGATCGGATGTGTGTGGTCCGCCGCTTTGCTCTTTATAAGACTTATATAAGCTGGAGCGCCCTCTGTTCGCGGTGGGAAGAGGTGGAAGACGGTTGGAGATAGAAAAGAGGAGGCGGGGGAGGGGAGGGGGGGGGGTTGCTCGTTAGCGGCTCGCGACAAACGCTCGTTGAACTACCGCAGCAGCACACGTTCCACTCGGATGGATCGATGAACGGCGATGGGGGATCGAGCGCTTCTACTTACTTGAATAATTGGAACGAATTGAGAGGAGGAAAATAAAAAAAGGAAAGGAAACTCAACGTAACAAAGATTTTAATTCATCCTATTTATTTCTCGCGCGACAACATCCCCCGATCCTATTTAAAAAAAAAAAAGAAGAGGGGGTTGCGTTCCAAAACATTTCAGAATCTTTATTTTTTATTCGTCCATTTTATTTTTCATCTTTTGATTTTATTTTTGAAATTTTTATCGATTTTCTTATTGAAAGATTACGACGTTGCACGATTGAGTTTGCTTGAAATAATCGATCAAATTATCGAGTTGAAGTTCAGGATCAAAGGAAAAATAAGGGAGAATGGAGGAGTAAGTCGCTAAAGGAAAAAAGATAGGTTAGGTCGTTCATCCTTGATCGATGGAAAATCAACATGTATCAAAATTCGTATAATCATCAAGTGGAAGTTGGATTAAAAAAAAAAAATAGCAAAAAAATAGTAAATACTCGCTATAGATAAGGATAGAGAACGTTTAAGACGAAAGAGAAAGAGGAAAAGAAGAAGAGGAAGTTGGATTAAAAAAAAAAAAAATAGCGAAAAAAGGTTAAGTACTCGCAACAGACAAAGACAGAGAACGAGAAAGGAAGAAAGAGAAGGGGGAGGGGGGAGGGGGGGAGGGGAAGAAGAGGTTAGGTCCTGTCGAAGAATATAAATAAAAAGTATCGCCATCGATGGACAAAAGGAAAGCTGTGTGTGTGAAAAAAGAAGCGTCGTTCGAAAATAGGTTCGATTCTTTTAAAACGTCTCCCATGTCCGCCGAAATACGCCAGACTCTCTGTTTTCGGGGATTAGTGCTCGATTTAATAAATACGCGTGTATCCGTGTTAGGTACCAACAACGTCGGCCCGGGGCTAATCCACTCCGGAATGGATCCTCTCTATACCTCTCTTTTTTCCCTCCTCCTCCCTCCTTTTCCCCCTCCTTTCCATCCGGCAGACGGTGAATCGTGCGGCACGGCGTAATCTGTCACAGCCACCACTCTCGCCGTAGTTTTCTGCGGCTTAGTCCCCCTTCCCCTCCTCTGCCCCTCGACCGCTTCAACGCTCCCCCACCGCCAAATGAAAAAAAAGAGGGGAAAAACGCAGGGCGCCTTCCTTCTTTTCGCCCTTGGTAACTTCAACCCGTGTAATATCCGATCCGATGCCTTATCCCAACCGCTTCGAATCCGGGAGGATTCCATCTCTGTTTTTACGCGACAAAAGAAAAGAAAGAAAGAAAAACGAAGTTTTTCTTTTTTATTTTTAAGATCAAGCGAATTCGAGAAGAAAGATTTAAGAGACTAGATATTTCGAGATTTTTTTTTCTTTTTCTTTTTTTTTTTTTTTGATTTCACTCTTATCGACGCAAATGAGATTTATCAAAAGTTAGAATCGAAATTGAAGGAAATGGAATGGAAATGGAATTTTTAGGTATAATTAAAAAGTTGCTGTCAACTTATTCAATGCGAAAGAATTTCCTTTGGTTTTAGAAAATTTTAAAAACTCCCTCGCATAAAAATGAAAAATCGCACAACCTACAACGTAACCCGAACAAAGATTTTAATTCATCCTATTTATTTCTCGCTCAAATCGCGCGACAGCAATTAATTTCTCCGATCCAATTAAAAAATCATTAAAAAAAAAAAAAAAAAAGAAGGGGTTGCGTTCCAAAACATTTCAGAATCATGTTCGACTCCAAGACGATTTTATCGAATATTATTGGCCCCTCGTTCGACGAAATTACGTACGAAATTGGCGCGATCGGTCCATCGTCGAGCGCAAGATGTCGCCGGGTACGTGGCGGATCCGTAGTCACGAGCGTAATCTGTCACCGGTACCGCTTCCAGCGTAGTTTTCTACGGCTTATCGCGGCATCGACTCGCATTTAATCCCCGCAAAAAACGGTGCCCCGTTCCCCATGGGGCCCCCGTAAAGCCGCCCGTGTGGCGCCTGCATCCTTGCCGGGCGTACGACAGCCAACGACAATGCCGATCCCACAGCCAGACCCTCGAGACATCGGCGGGATCCCTCGTGCATACCGGGTGATCCATTTCCATCGCGTTCAATTTGATTTCAGAAGACTGGCAGTGTAGTTTGTTCGACGTTTGTTATTGCGAGTGATTGTACCGGGTGATCCATTTCAAACGAGTGCAGCGTAATTAGGGTGCAAAGTATACCGGGTGACCCGTTTGAAGCGGTACAGTATTCTTCGTTTATTCGACACTTGTATACTGGATGGTCCATTTCAGACGAATGCAGAGTAATTAGAGTTTATTCTCGTGGAAAGTATACCGGGTGATCCATTTCCATCGCGTTCAATTTGATTTCAGAAGACTGGCAGTGTAGTTTGTTCGACGTTTACACGTTTGTTATTGCGAGTGATTGTACCGGGTGATCCATTTCAGACGAATGCAGAGTAATTAGAGTTTATTCTCGTGGAAAGTATACCGGGTGATCCATTTCAATCAGTCGTTTAATTTAATTCAGAAACTGGAACAATATAATATTCTTGGTTCACTTGATATTTGTATATTAACTATCTGTGATATACTGGAAAGTATACCGGGTGACCCGTTTCAATCACCCGTTTGATTTAATTCAGAAACTATATAGGATTCTTCGTTTAATTGATATTTGCACATTTATTATTGTGTAAGTAGGATTCAGAATCCGATATTTCTGTTATCAGTCATATTCTTTTCACGATAAAAAAATGCTCGCAACGTTAACGAAAGGAAAAAAAGAAAGTTTCAAACAACTTTTTCCTTTTTTTCGAACACCATTTATAAACCATATATACATTCTCACCTTATTAAAAAAAAGAATACTCGTCGAATTATTCGCTTGGAAAAACCTTGGAAGAAACTTCTCTGACAAAAAACAAAAAAAAAAAAAAAAAATAACAGAAATAGCAACATCTATCTCGCGCCTCCCCTCCCCATCCCCCCCCCCAAAAAAGGATAGAATCCATACGCTTATAAGAGCCAATATCCAAGGGCTGTCGAAATATACAAAATGTCGGAATCTCGGCCGAGCGGGGCGCCCCCCCCCGTTATGATTTAACTCCTCGTAAAGGCGGCTCGAGTGTAGAGGAAAAATATTAAAATGGAAAATCCTCAACGGGTGATATACGCGTGTGCGATATTGGTGGCCGGCAGCTGTCCCGTTTCCCAAACTCTCTCCCTCCCCACCCTCCCTCCCTTCTCTCGCTAAACGCGCGAAAACTCGGCCCGGGAGGAGAAGAGGAAGAGGAAAAATATGCTCCTGCTCCTAGGAAGACGAGACGAGACGAGACGAGACGAGACGAGAGCGAGGAGGAGGGGGGGGGGAAATAGGGGGAAAAAGGGGGGTGGTGACTGCGCGATATTGTCTCGGTGACTCCTCGTGTCGGGCTACAATGCTACTTTAAAATATCGTCGAAAGTATAAAGAGGGGTGAGGGTGGAGGGACGAAATATGGAGGAGGAAGGGGTGAGAGAGAGAGAGAGAGCGTGCGTGTGTCGCGCCACTTGTCGCGAGGGCACACGTGTCGCGCGCTATTGGAGTCGAGAAAGGGTGACTCCGACAAAGAGCCACCCCATTTCCTATTCCTACACCTATACGCGTGCCGGGGGACTTTAAAGCGAAATAAATTAGGGCCACCCTTTCGAATAAAGCCTCTGTCCTTCTTCCTCTCTCGCGTTGCGGCACCCCCCCCCCTTTTCTTTCTCTTCTTTCCTTTCAACCGTGGTGGCGCGCGCCTCGTTTCGATAACGGCGCACCGCGTATGATGCCGCGGTTTTCACAGCATTTGTCACCGCTGTTTATCGGAGGAACATAACGTTATTGAAAGAGAGGGAGGGAGATCTGTTTATTGGAGATGCTGATATTTAATTTATTTTATTTTATACGGATGTTTTAGATTTGACGAGAGATTGTGAACTGTTGTGAATTTACTCGATATTTCTATAAAATAGGATTTTTATTACACGAATTAAGATGGAGATGATTTTTTTTCTTAGCTTAAAAATTTAACGGGTCGAAAAATTTGTCGATTATATCCAATATTATTAATCCGTGAAACGAGAAAAAGAGATTTGAAATTTTCAACAATTTACTTTTCACCGTTTTTACGGAGAATGGTATGAAATGGTCAGCTCTGAACAATCTGTTGTCGAGATTGGACGAGACGAGTAGTAGTTTAAATTTTATTTAGAAATTATCGAGGATCGTGGATGAAAACCCGATCCATCGGATCGGGGATCGGATAATGACCGATGCACGCACACAATTACGCGCAATTTGTCGCACTTATCGAGCCGGGACATCGTGAACGGCGGCTACGTGCCCGCAGCTCGCTTTCGTGTGTACCGAGTTTGCATACGATATTTCAAGGCCGCGCGATTTTTATCCTCGGCCGCCATGATTGACGCCCGTCGTTCATGCGACGAATAAGAAATTAGAATTTTCATTACGCGCGAAAATGAGAAAAGTAAAGGTAAGTAATTTAATCGAACAAGTGAATGAACGAATATAGTCTATAGACCGATAGCCTCTCTCTCTCGTGGCGCTAGTGTCGCGCCATCATAACCTTTTAAATTCTCTAGAAATTTCTCTTTTTTTATGATGATCGCATAAAAAATTGAAAAAATTTCAAGAAGAAGGGCGATTTCGATTGATTTTCTCTTCGGCCAAAAATGCTTGATAAAGCATCCTTAACTCCCTAAGACTTTGTATCCATTCTTTTTCCTCGCAGCTTCACCTCCTTATCATATTTCTGTTGGGCCAGGCTGTTAAATTATTCAAAAGATCAAAATCTTAAGGGCCGAGGAGCTGCTGAATTATTAATTTATCGGTGTTATCGATACCTGCACCGCGTTAGTCGATCGCGTATTGTTGATATCTCTCTGTGAAACCGAACGAACGAGACGATCGAAAATGGTTGGCAGCTGTTTCCTGCCGCCGGTGGAAAAGTGGTCCTCTCTCTCTCTCTCTCACCTGCCGCCCTCTACGAGATACTAATTGCCAGATAACGTGATACCACCACCACGATTTCGCGTAACATCGATTCCACGCCATTTCACGGCGTCCACTTCTTTTTTTCTTTTTTTTTTTTTTCGTTCCTCCTCTTCGCGCGTTCGATGTCGACAGACAGAAGGAGGCGCGAAAAAAAGACGTTCGATCCTCCGTTGTTAAGGGTATAAACGCGAGTGTCACGATTCCTATCTTCTTTTCCCCCTTCATCTTCATTTCATCTAGATAGATCGTATTGAGATAGGTCAGTTCTCGTAAGCTAGTTGTAACGATCGATTCAGTATCTCTAATTTTCTTGAGATTATTTACTTCGTCCTAGTTTCCCCTAGAATCTTGATTATTCGCATCCCCTGGTGAAAAAAGTTTATCTTCTTATAACACAATTTCACGCTTTCTCGAAATTATTTAATTCGTCGATTAGTTATACTCATTCCTTGATTATCGATATAAGGATTGATTACTTGCTTCATCCTAGTTTCCCCTAGAATCTTGATTATTCGCAATCCCTGGTGAAAAGAGTTTATCCGTCTTCTTGTAACACAGTTTTACACTTTCTCGAGATTATTTAATTCATCGATTAATTGTTATTATATTCATTCCTCGGTTACCGATATTAATTACTTGCCTCATTCTAGTTTCCCCTAGAATCTTGATCATCGATATTACTCGATACAACTTTGTAAGTACAAAAATAAAATATTCCACTTTTCTTTGCTATTTTAAATTACAAAAAAAAAAAATTCCACGCTTAAGGAAAAGATACGAATAATTTGTTGCGAAATCGCGAGGGATCTCTTGAGAGATAATTCACGCGTGCGTCAATCTATCCACGCAGTTTCGTGCACGGGAAAACGAGCAAAGATAATATTGTTGGGGGATTCGCACGCTGCCGAGTGATATTCATAATAAGATGTCATTAATTCCTCATTGTTTTCCCTTCATTTTTTCCCTTTTTTTTTTTTTTCCGCCTCTCCATCGTCGTTCCATGCCAGAGAGAAAATGGAGGAAGGCGATAAGCCATCGATGGAACATTTTCCCTCGTTTATTTATAAGGATCGATCCTCGTTACGTGATTCCGTTTATGGAAAAATCTTACGGAAAATCTTGCTGCCTCGTTAATCCCATCATTCATTCCGATTTTGCAGGGGTACACGCCGTTACATATCGCGATGCAGTTCGATCATGAGAATATCTTCAACCTGTTGGTCCAAGTGTACGGTGAGTTGATGTAACGTTGAAAAAAAGATAGATCTGGATCTAGCTTGAATAACGGTGTCCCTGGCGTGGAAAATAATCGTCGGATTGTTTTCCATTGATCGGACGCTGGATTGAGAGTCGAAAGTAAGTAAAAAAAAAAAGCGTCCATATCCAAAAGAAAAAATCCAATTATTGATCAACTTTTGCCAATAATTTCCACCTTGTTTTTCGAAAAATTATTCGTTCAACCAACGAACTATCTTTTTTATTAAACGTTTCAAACGAACAACAGAGATGCCCTAACCTAACGAGAATTCGAATATTTTTCCCATAATCTCGCCGCCCATTTACTTTTTCGCGTTTACTTATTCACACAGCTGCGAACCAGGAGATACGGGACTACAGCGGGAAGAAGGCGAGACAATACTTGGTCTCCCAGGAGGCCGCTGTCAGTCAGGACACCTTCCGCAGTAAGTAACTGTTCGTTTCGAGCGAGGGGAGAAAAATTTTCCGAGCGAAAAAAAGAAAAAAAAATTGTTGAAAATATTACCATCGGAAGAGAGAAAGAAAATGAAAGGAAACGGACGTGCGTTGTTTATTACATGTTAAGTAGAATAATTGAGTCGTGATCGAGGGAGCGTTATCGAGTCCCACGATCGAGATCTTATCATCTTCAACATCGTAAATGAGACGCGTCAAAGTTTCGTAATATTCGAGGCTCGTTTCTACGCAAATAGCCGAGTGAATTATTCCTTTTTTATTTTTTCTTTCTCCCCCACCCCTCCCCAAAACTTCTATATTCGTTGGAACTCGAGAGAGTATTCTCGCGAAGCTGGAGAAGAATCGAATTTAAATTTTCTGCATTCTTGAAAACGATCGAAATTAATGCTACGGCGACACTAGCGCCACGCGGACCATTAACTACTAGATACTGGTCCGATGTATTTATACATTCAAATTATTACAATTGTCACTCATTACAGATATTTCTATTTTCAAAAATTCAATTCAAAAATCTATTCTCTCCAACTCTGCACAATTACTCTGTATATGATATATTCGTGGAAAGAAATATAACTCGAACTGCAAGATTTGAATATACCCATCTAACATTTCCCTTTCGATCTTATCACGAGCCTACGAGAGATGGCATTGTCGCCTTGTCGAATGATTAAAGTTACGCGATATTAAGAGGCGAGCACGCACTCGAGGGGATTCCCCTGTCGTTCCGATTGTATTTTAAAAGCCGGCCCCCCGATTCGATTAAAATCGTTGCTTGCCACGGGATATCGTTACGACTCTTGGTCACCTCTTGGTTTAACGAAAGGTTTTTGTATTAATATTATTATTATTATTGGACGTGTTTGGTGAAAAATTTGGGGGATTCACGATTCTTTGATTTCTTTTGTCGAGTTGGGGAAGGTAAGATAATATAATTGAAGTATCGCCAATATCGAGCAGAGTTACTTTTTGATTTTCTTCCGACGAAGAATCGTCCCTTCAATTTTTCAACACTGAACGTTTGTTCCATTTCTTCTTTTTTTAATTCTTGGTAAACGAGTTGGGTCTCCAATTGTGAATTAAACGAGATTAATTTTCCTGTCAATGATTAACGTGATTAAATTTCGCAAAAACACACCAAAATTGTACAATTTCGTGAGAGCATCTTGCTTGCAAGACTTGGATTTAAGTCGACGAGACTTGATTCGTCCACAAAGAGTTAAAAAAAAAAAAAAATCATCCAAACCGAAATAATATTTTAATCCTCCTTAGAGAAGACACCCTCGACTTCGTTCGAAATTTCAAAAAAAAAAAAAAAGAATTCGAATTCGAAATTTTCGGCCTGAATGGTGATTAATTATTTTCTATCCCTCTTGCCCCTCCTCCTCGGGGGAAAAAAAATATACCACGTATCTAGGGAAATAAAATTATTATATACGAGGTAGAATATCACCAGATACGCTCGATCGTCGATAGAGCGATTATTACAGGTATACCGCACCAAGGTACACCGCAATTTGCACATACGCTTTCATACGCTTCTTTGGTTCTTGCTCTCTCGGCCTTGGTCCTCTCGTCTTTCTATTTTTCCACCGCTCAGCTTCCTCCTTTCGATCGTGCGCATGCCTCTCGAAAGACGTTTTGCTTCCTAGTTTCCTAGCAGGGCAGCATGCGTGGCATTAACCAGTTTGCATCCCATCTTGTCATTCCTGAACGACTAGAAATTCATCGACTTTTATTGCAGTGAGTCTTCTTTCGGGGATCAAGTAGCAGTTGTTGGTTATTTTTTTTTTTTTATACTTTCTTTCGTTCTCTTTGTTCGTTTCTTTTCAAACATATCACGAGTATAAATATCTTTCAGCTTTTTACCTTTGCCAATCTTTTCATTGAAGAAAAAAAAAAAAAAAAAAGTAGAGAAAACATTCGTTCGCACTTTCGAAGCAATCATCTTATTGTTTATATTTAACAATCGAAAAAAAAGAAATCATTGTGCCATTATTCACCAATAATAAGAGCATCCAATAACTTTTTCCTTCCAAAAAAAAAGATCCACGCTTACTTTATCACCATCGCGCGAGAAATCCATTGTACACGCGAAATAACACGCAGCAGCATCGAAAGTTACACGCGTAACTTTGAGAGAAAGCTTGCTTCGAAAAGCTGATCCAGCCTCCTCCTCCTCCTCCGACCTCGAGAAGGAAGAAAAGTAAAGAGAAAAGGCGGTAAAGACAGGTGTTGTACCAGCATCCAGCACCACACATATCGAAATAGAGGCGGCGGTATACATGGTTTCGGGCTCTTTATCTATCTGTCTGTCTGTCTGTCTGTCTATCTCTCTCTGTCCTCTGTCCACTCCTCATCTGTCCTCTGTTCTCGGTGAGTATCGGGGCTCTGGAAGTATTCTTCTGTTGTAGGGATTACTGCTGCCGCTACGCTCAGGCAAGTTCAGAAGCACACCTCTGCTAAAGTAGTAAAGCGCTTGTGTCGCAAGATTAAAGTAGCCGCACCTTAGAGTAACGTATGAACACTGTCACTTTTGTCGGCGCTGACGTGAGTATTGCGCGAGAATCCGCGGGTCCATCCACGCGAGGGAGAGAATCCCGAATAATTCGTTTTGCCCGCTTTGGTTAAAATCGTCTTCGCTTTGAGTTCAATTTGAATAAATCCGAAATCTGTCGCATTTTTGTCGTATAGGGTTTTTTTTTCTTGATTCTCGAAGAAGAAGAATTTTAACCTAGGAGGGCGGAATATCTTTTCTATTTA